GTGGCAAGGGGCTGTGACCACTGTCTAATCACATTCTGCAAAAATGGTTAGTCCTCTTGCTTTTGAAACGCTGTCTGTTCAGGGATCTGAGTATTCTTTTGGGTTCCATATCGCGTGTTCCCTGTGCTATTCATTATTTACACACTCGTTATGGGTTGCCGTCTTATTTAAGGTGAACTCCACCTTTCTCCCAGAGTCTTCATGATGGTGTTTTTTTCAGGACAGATCATTGTCTCAACCCTTCTCTGAATCTCCTTTTTGGGGGTTATATGTAAATGGTAATAAAATTGTTGTTATAATAATAGAACATTTGGGTGGGCTTTTTTTCTTTTTTAACAAGATTAGATAGGCAGGGCATTTCTGAGCAACTTGAAAGTGTATCCCAAAACTTATGAGGCAGTGCAGGGCTGCGCAGGGGTCTCTGGTGATCTGCAGGAGTGTGGCCGGCTAACGGGAATATCATGGCTTGGAAGAGATGCTCTTACTTAGGAAAGTAAAGCACGGAGTGGTACTGCTTGAGTGACAGATTCCGCACACAAGTCCAGTGTCAATCACAAAGCTCTTAATCAGTACCATCCTTTGTTGTAAATCATGTAAAAATGCAAGCAACGCATCTCCATAATAATATATATCTAAGTTCAGTCTTTTATCTGCCTTTACACGAAGAGGCTTGAGAAACCCTCTAGCTGTGATATGCATGAGTGACAATTTACATACTAGTTAAGACAGGCGTCAGCCGTTGTGCAGGGTTTTTTTTCTGTCTAATAAACCAGAGCAAGAAATGTTCAACTGACACTGAAACGCTATGAAAGACTTTGTGGCAGAAGGTGATCACCTGCATGAAAATGTAGATCATTTTGGGAAGTGACTACTTCTTCATATGCACACACAAAGGCATAAAATTTTTAAAGGGTGTTTCTGGTTCAAGATGTTTCCTCTTGTTTGTGTCATTACTTTAACATCTAAATTGGGCCTGACCCCTGCATGTGAATTGCTGCACTGTGAGAAAAGTTAATGTACTGTGAAAGCCATCACTGCGTTTCCTCTTCTCCTCTCCCTTTCTGAAGCGAGAGAAGCTGGTTTGCATGGCGCAGGTCCTCTCGAATCAGGAGCACAGTTAACCGTAGAGCCAAGGACGTTCAAGAAAAGATGTGTTGAGTCAGCTGTGGGGTGCAGGGTATCAACAGACACTCTGTATTGCAGTGGTCAGCCTGGGTCGTCAGGAGGTACTGAGAAATAACCTAGTCGTTAGGAGCGCGTTGCTACACTCTCTCCTCATATAGAACAAAACTATTTTTCAGCCGTAGTTGGAGACAAATACGGTTCCATGGCTTAATTGTTAAATAAATTTTTTCTTGATAAAGGGTACTTAGAATTGTGGTTTCAGAGGGAACTGTGACCCATTCAGAGGAACTGGGCTTCCCAGTAAAGAGAGATACAGAGCTACTGGGAAGGGCCACAGAAAGGGTGAAGGAACTGGAGCATCTCTTCTGTGAGGAAAGGCTGCAAGACCTGGGACTGTTCAGCCTGGAGCAGAGATGGCTTGGAGGGGGGTATTATTAATGTATATTAATATTATGTACATTATCTGAGAGAAGGGTTCATAGAGGATGGAGCCAGGCTCGACTGAGCGGTCCCCAGTGACAGGACCAGAGGCAATGGCTCCAAACTGAAACATGGGATGCTCCAGCTGCACATCAGGAAACACTTTTTTTACTATTAGGGAGACCAGGCACTGGCACAGGTTGCCCAGGGAGATTGTGGAGTCTCCATCTTGGACTGTTTCTAAGTGGGCACGGTCTGGGACAGCTGGCTCTAGGTGGCCCTGCTGGATCAGAGGGATTGGACCAGATGCCCTCCAAAGGTTCCTTCCAACCTCAACCCTCCTGTCATTCTGGGCTGTGTGGGAGGATAGAGATAATACTGTTACTGCCATGTGAAGATGTGCCAGCGTGGCTTTCATAGTCTTTTTTGTTTAGTTTGGCCATAACAAGGCCAA